AACAAGTCATCTACATATTGTAATAATACACACTCTCCTGGGATAGACTCAAAATCTAGTAGATCTTGGCTTAGAGCTGAACCAAATAGGGTAGGTGAATTTTTAAACCCCTGGGGCAATCTTGTCCAGGTCATTTGGCGTTTCGAGCCCGTTACAGCATTTTCCCATTGGAAAGCAAAGATACATTGGCTCTCTACGGCAATTCGGAGGCAAAAGAAGGCATCTTTGAGATCTAAGACTGTAAAGTAAGTAGCCCAGCCCGGAATTAAAGCAAGCAGGTTATATGGATTGGGCACGACTGGATGTATACTAACAACCGCATCATTGACTGCTCTCAAGTCCTGCACAGGTCGATACTCATCTGTACCGGGCTTTTGAACAGGCAGCAATGGGGTGTTCCAGGGGGAAGTACAGAACTTTAGGATACCATACCGTATGAACTTATCCAGATAAGATTGGATGTTCTTCTTAGCCTTCTGCGGAATATGATATTGTCTCAGGCTTACTGGATAAACCCCAAGTTTTAGTTCGATTTTAATAGGTGGAATATTGCGGGCCAGTCCTGGTGGGTTGTTCTCTGCCCAAACTCCTGGTATGTTAAATAAGGATTCATCACTCCGCGGGTTTTGGCTAGTCAACACTGTATAAAGTCGCCACTCTTCTTCCTTTGGTACGGACAATGTCATAATACCTGAGGGTCCATTAAACTTTAAGGATGTTGTTCCATTTGGTAGGAGCGTAATCTGCGCTTGTAATTTGGATAGCATATCACGTCCCAGCAATTGGACTGGACACTCAGGCATATAAAGGAATTGATGTTTTACTACGTGGCCTCCCAATGTACAAAGTCGACTTTTAAGAACCGGTTTTTCAGCACTTCTTCCAGTTGCTCCTATTACAGTAATAGTTCTTCCAGATGGAGGAGCAACTAGATTAGTCACCACCGAATGTTCAGCACCAGTGTCGATCATGAACGCACTCCTTTTTCCCCCTATTGATACATCGACCATAGGCTCCGCTCGACCAAGGGGATGGAGCCCGGTCGGTATCAATAGTCCTCCATGACCGTGTCAGCCAATCCCACAAAGTCCCTACCTTCTCTATCGCGGGACCTTTGCGCTGCTGGATAGTACATATCTTCCCTTACACTTCCTCTGTTCCCATTACTCCCTCCGGGGCCTCCTCTACCTCTCGCTCTGCCTCTAAAGTTTCCGTAACCTGCCCTGGGTAAGTCTCTCTCATACTGCTCTCTTTGCGGACACTCATTCCTCCAATGCCCTTCTTCCTTGCAGTACGCACACTGATTCCTACTCAAAGGCTCCCTATTCCATCTACCATCGCCTCTATCTGGGCCCCGTCTATCTACGCCTGCGATCGCTACCGCTAGCATATCTGCCTTTCTACGCATCTTGCGCTCTTCCTCTTTCTTGCTTTCTGTTTCCCTATTCATATATACTTTGTTCGCTACCTCCATTAGTTGGGTGATAGACATACCTGCAAACCCTTCTAATTTCTGTAGCTTGCGCTTAATATCTCCGTAAGCTTGGCTGACAAAGGCGGAGTTTACCATTCGGGAATTATCGGCGTCTTCCGGATTAAAGGGGGTATACAAGCGGTATGCCTCCAATAATCGGTCATAAAAGACACTGGGCGCTTCATCACTTTTCTGAATCACCTCAACTGTCTTCGACATGTTAATAGCTTTCTTCCCTCCGGCTTTCATGCCAGCAATTATAGCATCTCTATGGGCTTTAAGTTGAGCCATATCTGCGCCATTTACATTCCAGTCAGGATCGGTGTTAGGGTAATGTGTTGCGGCCCATGCTGCCGGATTGGCTTGATTTAAAACACGGGCTCTCTCCTCTAGCGCCTTAATGGCCGCTTGGTTAATCCTTGTCCTTTCCTCATTATTGAACAATGTCATTAATAACTGCTGGCAATCAGCCCATGTCGGGTTATGTGTCTGAACTATCGAGGTGAACAGATCGGTCATAGCTTGTGGTTTCTCAGTGTACGAGGAATTGTGGGTCTTCCAATTTAAGAGATCGGTAGTCGTAAACGGGACATATACGAAGACTGGGTCAGCATGTGCCATTTGACCTGCGGCATCGATATAGGCTGACCCAGGATTCAGACGAAGAGGCATCTGATAATGTTTTAATTGTTGGGTACCGGTCGGTTGTCGGGTTAGTATGGGGCTACGTGGAGGGGCGTCAGTTAAAGGTTCCGGTCGAGAGGTAATAGGGCATGAGGATGTGGGAACTTGATTTTGTGAAAAATTAGTGAATAGTATACTCTGAGCCGAGCTAGAAGAAGCTTGACCGGAAGTTTGAAGTGGCGCCAAATCAGGATATTCAGATCTAATGGGGGTTGGTCTTGGTTCAGGAAGGGGAGTTTTAATACGAGGGGGGGTGGATTCTGTACTGGAGGAGGAAGCGGAAGTGGATGGGGGCAATAGGGGAAGGGGTGCAGAACTTCCTGCATTCGCGTCACTTCCTCTTAAAGGGGAGTAAGGGGGCGGCAAAGGGATCTCGGACTCAGGGGGCGTGTCCAAAATGGGCCTAACACCGGTCCTAGTGGACAAATAAGTCCTGGCCACCATGAGGCGACATTGCCCCTCGTGGCATATCCGGATCCATTTTGGCGAGTCGTTTACGGCCTGCCTCCAACAATCAATGTATGGAAACTGTCCGTAAAGTTCAGGCCTACCTGACACAGCCACGTGTACACGCTGTACCAGGGTTGGATCCAAACTGCCGCGCGGCGGCCATGCCGCAACCAAAGTAGGCCACTCCCTAGTGCACAAAGTGACCAAACGAACAGGAGACATTTTAACCCCAAAATCACATATTTTGAATCCCTTTTTAAAATTCTTTACCATACAACCTAAGGGATTCGAAATCGCTGACTCTGACGCGCCCATACTTATCAATGGAACGTCGTTGACAACGAATACTATGCACGCGTTCTTATTCAACAGTCACACCCGTTTCCTCTGGCAACAGCACCACGTGGTACAGTTACCAAGTGAAACGTACACAATAATCACTCAGGGAATTCCCGTACACACACAGCTGTTACACCAGTCGCTAAATAATCAATATTATGCCCTTTGGCGAAACTATACAGTCACCCACGCTATAATTCTCTATATATGAATTACCCGTCTATAACACACCCCAGTAACATCGTCTTTTACTAATATCGGTTACAGTACGGTTAGCATAGGTCAAAGCACAATTTAAGGTCACAATACAATTATTAGTGGTTATGGTGTTAAACATGCAATAGACGACAATGATTAGTACTTATATACAGTGTCAGTAAATATACAGGGTTATGGTACCGTGCACTATGATACAGCAACACACTATTAACACTCTGGCTAGACGGCTGAGCTCGCGCTATCTAACAAGATATACACTTTACTAACAATCTTTAACACATTTACAATCCCAACTAAACTATTGGCCAGTACCTTGAATGGACTACCTAAAACTATGTACACCCGTTTTGGTTAGCCACACTGCCCAAACACCACATATAGCGAACTAGAGGGCGAAATTTACAAAATTGCCCTTCTAGTCTATTTACTCTATCAAAAGTCTATTGGGTTCCAAATTTACACGCCTTCCCACTTAGCCAAGATAGGTTGAGAGCTAGCGAACCGAATTTACACAGGCGCCGCTTAGTCTCCCGGTCCCTCCGACCTAGCGAACGTAATATACACCCTAGAACGCTAGTCTAGACAAGACACCGGTGTCCGGCTAGGGCTATTTACACAGGACCCCGCCTGACTAACCAGATCAAACGGTCTTACTAAAGAGCGTTCGATCGAGCGGTGCGCCTTCGCTCCTTCCCTCCGACAGAGGGGGCAGATTCCATACACAGATTTAAACCCCTTTTGGGCCTACCGCACAATCGGTATACCCCTAGTGGGTCTGCCGTCTAAAACAGCAGTTGTCTTACCTCCTCGTTCCTGAACCTGAGTTCACACTCATCGACGGGGACACCCCAGCACTTCTTACGTAGAGGCCGATGATCTCCTGGACAACAGACCAGTGGCGCCGAGACGAAGGGAGGTCCACGCAGAAGTTCAGGGGTGCAGCCGTAGAGAACGTGGGCAAAGATAGACCGTCTCACGCCTCTGCCTCTCAGCTACCGTTGAACGATGAGCTTTCCGGCCAATGCACCAAATGATACCGGAGAAACTGACGGAAGCAAAGCACAGAGGGATGGACACAGGTTTCTTCAGGAAGGAAGAGATTCTTTATTGGATCACCGATCGGGACTCAGAGGGACTAATGTCACCAAAAATACAGCAAGTTCTGAGCCCTGAACAATAGTGCAGGCTTCCTATATAGGCACATAACTCCTCCCATATTAAGCTCCACCCGCACATTCTCTTGACCAATCATTACAAATAAGAATTAACTTCCTGCTTGACCACATGGCTTGTCCAGCACAATGGAGGAGGGGAATACTACATCCTGTATTCTTGCACATGCTCCGTACACTACTGATCGTATCTTGCCTCGTGCAACCAACTGATCGATACGTCAGCATATGCACGTACACATGCCATGTGGTAATCTCGGCCTACTAAATTTATTTTTACCGAGATTCCACCACAAGACGAGGCCAGGGACTTATAAGAGAATTTAGAAAAGTGGGCAGACTATGTGGGCCGAATGGTTCTTATCTGCCGTCAAATTCTATGTGGGTTAATCTTTCTGCCTGTGTTGCCTTTCAATCACCATGTCAGCAGGGGCATTTAATGCATTCAGAAATAATGGATTGCCAGTTGCAGTGGGTGACACAAAATCCCCGGCAGAATGTTCCTTTTTAACTATAGGTTGCTAAACAAAGCATGTGTGAGAATGTTTCTATAAATAATAAATGACCATGGAGTGTAAAGTTGTATATAAACGTTCCATAAACCAGTCTTCCTGCTTTGTGCCACTCTCCCTCCTGCAGCAATGAATTTGTGAGGGGAAAAACAAATTTAAAAAAAAAAGTTAACTGTGATAAAGGGCCTCTCCAAACAGTATAATCGCTGCACTTGATTTGGTTATGTTGCTAGGAGACCATGGGTACAGTTCCTTTAGTTTTTGTCAAACTCTTTTCACGTATGTACCAATTCAGCAGTTCAGAAATGCCAGCTGTGATATATTTATTGTGTGATGGGTAGAGATTCCATGTAAGTTACAGGGGCACATCCTGGGCTATTCCTGCCTTTATTTCCAAAAAACAAACAAACAAAAAGATTGAAAAGAAGGGGACACTCCAAGCACCATAATCAATACACCTTAAAGGAACACTCCAGACTTGCTGCAGTGCTTTATGTGTGACGAGTGTATCTTTTCTTTTTCATTTGACAAGAAATGCTGATTTTAAGAGAAATTGCCACTTTTATAAATGAATACTGGTTACATCCCCCAACTGTCAATCAGACAACAGGTCCTGTTACTTCCTGGTTTGTTTAGCTCAGTGAAGTTAAACGCAAGAGGCAGCAATTGCTCAGAGCACCTGCCTTGCAAAGACTATTCATTGAGCTGCATTGGGAAGTCTGTGATTGGACAGCCACAGAAGGTCTGGGCGGAGTTAGAAGGGGAGGGTTTGTAAAGTCTGCAGATAAGAGATCTACAAGCTGTTATTATATACACCACCCATAACAAAAAAATGCTAAATTAAATGTATGTATGTTTTCATTGCAGTATATCTACTAAACAGGGACTTTGTTTTGTTTTTGTTTTTCTGTATTTGGGCATCCCTTTAATGCATTAATTATGGTGCCAGGAGGCTATGAGTACATGTCTGTATTAGTTCAGAAATGACAAATAAAGTAAGTGGCAGTGTTTTTTTTGTTTTTTTTCGTGAACGATTCCTTTTATATTGCGGGGCAATCAATGCACCATGTCCACTACAGCCTGTTATAATGAATATACAAAACAGATTGTCGTCAAAAAAATGTAAAGGGACTGCAGCCACAGCCTTGTGGCACCATAACCAACACAAAACCCTGTAGCTTCCTTTAACCATGAAAAAGGTGAATGAGTACCCCTTTATTGGGAATATTTCACTGCTCTTATTTATGATGCCAAATATCGTTTGAGTGTTCTATTGAGCTCTCTGTCTTTTGACACACGTTTATTTGGATCCATCTTTTCAGACTGTGATTCAAAATAAATAAAACAAACCTAGTACAACTATTGACAAATACGGAGTTAAAGGTTATAATGCATTTCAATGGATAAATCATATACACATCTCACAGTAAATAATCTGTTTAAGGAGTATGGATGTTTGCAATAAAGGAGAGAAAATAATGTACGGTATAGTTATTCAACTCGAAAAATACTTCAAATAGTAGAATAAAAATGATAATACATTCTTTGATCAATTTTTAATTGAACAAAACATGACATAGGAAATACATAACAGCAAGCGATTCTTTCTGCTACTGGATCTCGACAGGCGAACGGACTATAATTACAGAAAGAATACCTTGTTATTATTTTATATTATTTTATTTTTTTATCGTTGTTTGTTAAATTGAAAGTCAACAAATACCTGCTTTGTTTTGTTTTAATATTTAGATTCGCTCGCTCTTTGGGTTGTTGTGGTCACCCCACCAGCTATTGAGTTAACCAGTATTTTGGTTTTTTTATTGCATTTTATCTCATCCATTTTTATTTTGTGGGGATCCACTAGCCAATTGCGTCTTTTAAGTGAGTGTTGTTTTTTTTTGTTTTTTATACATAGTTGTACATTTAATTATCCAAAAGCAGGTTTGAGTTGTTATGATAATAGACACATGCATTTCTGCTTTATTAGATCAGGAGGACAGTTGGATAGATAAAAGGTTTGACAGTTTACTCAAAGGAGGAGCCTGGGCTCTCCTGCCACCATAACCACTTCAGTGCGCTATAGTAATTATGGTTCCTCGAGTGTCCCTTTCATTTTATAGTCATGTGCTGTATATAATTAAACTAAATGCTGTAACTTATATTCAGGTAGTGGTACTAATACCTGTGAATATCTAACACATTTTAAGTTCGAGAGACAACCAGGGCCGTCTTTAACGCGGGGCAAACGGGGCAGCTGCCCCGGGCCCAGTTTCTCTTGGGGGGCCCGAGGCACCTGCCCCGTGGGCCCCGCTGACCCCGGCGGGCAGGTGGCCGGTCGGGCAGGAAGGCGGCTGGCGAGGGCACTCAC